TCTTAAACAACTCCCTACAAGAATCTCTACTTCTAGAATTGGTGATTACTCTTATTACCCTCTTCTGTAGTCTAAAGATATGGATGCAGAGGGGTGAATTACCCCAGAAAATCAGGCCATATGTCATAATAGAATGAAAATATACTGATCTCATTGTTTCTAAAGACATATAGGGTAAGTTAGCCTTAAACCATTCATTTATATTTTTCAATATTAAATTTAGTTCATTTTCATACTCAATACGATTAGAATTCTTAACAATAATTCTGGTATCATCCGCGAAGAGAATAGGTATTGATTTACTCTTTATATTTGGCAGATCATTAATGTATTTCAAAAACAATAAGGGACCTAAGACTGATCCCTGGGGAACACCACTGATAATCTTACCCCAACTTGAGTGAGTGCATTTCTTATTAGTTACAACTCTTTGATGTCTACCATGAAGGTAGGATTCCAGTAACGCATTAGCTTTTCCTACTATTCCATAAAATTTCAATTTACATAATAGAACATCATGATTAACACAATCAAAGGCTTTATTTGGGTCACAAAAAATGCCTCCAACTGGTATTTTATTATTCAAGGCCTTTAATATTTCATTAATTAAATTATATGAAGCGAGTTCTGTGGATGAATCACATCTGAAACCATATTGGTGGTTGGATAATATATTGTTATCCTTTATGTGCTGGAGCAATCTTACAAATATAACCTTTTCAATAACTTTTGAAAAGGATGTAAGTAATGATATAGGTCTATAATTAATTATATTCGTTTTATCACAATTTTTAAATAATGGTATTATTTCAGAGTATTTCAAACGAATGGGGAAAACACCTGTTGAAAGTACTCTGTTACAGATATAAGTTAAAGGAGAAATAATAGCAGGTGCGCTAGTTTTTAGAATACCGAAATTTCATCATACCCGTTAGAATTTTGGGGTTTTAATGACTTAATTATGTTTTCAGTTTCTTTAGCAGATGCAGGTTTATGTTTAATTTCAAGGAAAGGAGTCAGAAAAGCCTGAAATAAATAACTCCAATGTTTATCAATATCAAACTCTATAAAATGATCACTCTTAGCATTATTGCTGTTAATTTTATCTACTATAGTCAGAAAGTAGTTATTTAAAGAATCAGCAATTAATTGGTGACTATCAGTTAGCTTCCCTTCAACATTTAAGAACTGCACTTCAGTATTATTGATTCTCTTACCAGTAACCGTTTTAATAATATTCCATGTGGTTTTAATTTTATTGTTAGAATTCGAAATTAATCAATTATAATAAAGATTTTTGGCTGCCTTAATAATATTAGACAGAATTTTTTAGTAAATTTTAAAATAGGATTTGAGGTTTGGATCATTACTGGTCTTCATGGACAAATGGAGCTCTCTTTTATGTTGACGTGAGGTATTTATGCCCCTCGTATTCCAAGGGTTATATTTCATATCATTCATAACTAATTCACTTACAGGTCCTGATGATTTCCAATGGCAAAAACTGCTACTGAGTGGTGTAGTACAGACACAGCTTGACATTCAAGAGATATCCATTCTATTTGTGTAGGTAGTATTTTATATGAAGGGCAGTCAAATGAAAACGGGTCACAAGCCAAAACATATTAAAGAACATTTCTTGCTCCAAAAGTAAACTCCAAAACTTGTGTGTACGGCTTTGCATTTCTTCGGTGGTGGAGAATTCACGTATTTCCACTGTTGGCTCTGCCGTTTGCTCTCGGGTTCAAAATGGTGGCATTAAGTTTCGTCCCCAGTGGCAATACGGGACAGAAAAGCGTACTCTTCCTTATGGTATTGTTTCAAGTTACCCAGTGATGCAGCCATTCTCTAAGTCTTCTGTTCCTCCGTGAGTTTATGTGGAACCCACTGCGCGCAGATTTTCGGTACAGCAGGTGTTTTGTCACAATGGCGTATACGGAACCGTGACTTATTCCCATCAAAAGACTAATTTCTTCCACAGTGATCCGACGGTTTGCCCAGATATGACCATCCAACGCAACAATAACATCAGGAGTGATGACACGATGAGCCTGTCTTGCAGTGACACACGTCCCTCTCGGAATCTCTTATGCCACGCCAGCACACGCGAACGTGACACGCTGTGTTCGCCGTAAACAACAGACATGCGATGATGAATTTCTCGTCCTCCTACTCCTTCAGCAGTCAAAAAGCGCACTACACTTCGCTGTTCTTCTTTACCCGCCTCCATTATTGATGTTGGACGACCACAGGTAGAGCTAACATTACTTCCTATCAGATGTCTGTAAGATTAAGAAACTGAAGTGAAAACGAAGTGTTTCACAGATACCCTATGCTCCAGAGGGAGCAATAGGAAACGTGAATGAATGAATGATTCTATTTTATGCTATCAAGTTCGATATATTGCCTCCTCCCGTCACACAGAAGTATGAGAAACCTGGTGTGCTTGACGCGTGTGTGGAAACTGCCCACATTCAAGAAAACGTTACAGTGACAACGTAAGTATCATTGCTGATCCACTTTCTACCCAACAAAAGGAATCCCTGCCCCAGCTTCAGAAACCGCCGCTTGGACAGCACATCCCCTTCCCGAGATAACGCTACACCCACCCTCCGCTGGTACCATCGCCACTACGGAGCCGGGGCACAAAAATGTACGCAGTCCTGCTCCTACCGCCAACAAGAAAAACCATCACAGCGGACATCAACGACAGCACCTATCTCGGACTCTCGAGGAACACGAATATAACCTACGGTCTCTCTTCGACAGACTTCGGCGGCACGGAACCCTCATCAACACGGTGAAAGGAATCACTGAGCACCCAAGCCCCCGCCCGGGGTTCCTAACCACTGGGAGAACGAATAAACTGTCTACAGAATTGCCAGCCTCCCAAAGCTGTCAGTCAGCTCCGCCATTTCCTGAGCATTCTGAACTGCTACAGGCAATTTCAACCCCACGCGGCAGCACACCAAACACCACCTCACGACGTCATCCTCGGACCTAAAGTCAAGATCTCCCACCCCACCACTTGGACACCGGAGCTACACAAGGCCTTCGAAAAGTGCAAGGCAAGTTTGTTACGCACCACTGTACTGGCACACCTCGACACATTCAGGCAACTTGCTCTCGTTACACACGCCTCCACGTCCGCCTTGGGCGCCGTGCTGCAGCAACGCGTCAAGAAGGCCTACCAGCCCCTCACCTTGTACCCCCAAAAGAATCAACGCCAGGTGAAACCAACAAGTGCACTGCATTACCTCCACCTTCAACCGCGCAGCCGACGTAGCACCGGATGCGACACCACACGCCGCGCCACCACCGCCCGTCGCACCAACTACACGCTCCGAACGCAATGTACGTTTCCATTTTTTTTAATTCGCTTAATGGGTGGTTGAGTCCAGCTGGGTCCACTCGGCACGGCGGCCACTGACTGGCCTATTGTACCTGCCCCGGGTGATTATTATGATGGTGAATTTGGTGGAACGAAGATTGGCAGGGGAAACCGAAGTACTCGGAGAAAACCCGCCCCAGCGCCACTTTGTCCACCAGAAATCCCACTTGACCAGACCCGGGATCGAACCCTGGCCGCCACGGTGGGAAGCCAGCGGCTAACCGCTTCGAAGTCAAAGTCATATTGCGACTGACGGTCAGTCAGTCAGTAAGTCTTGGTGCCGAGCCCCATCTGGGGCTCATGACCAGATATTTATTGCTGTTTGACAGTTACAGTCTTGTTTCTGTGGGGCGCCCTCTCTGACGAGAGGATGGGTCTGTATTTTGTGTATGCTGCTGGTCCTTGCCAACGCAGTTATATCGGGTCCGAGTCCCTTGGGATTAGTGACCATATTTTACTGTCTCAGATTTGAGACTTCCCGTTTCGACTAACCGCTTGAGCTATGGCGCGGCTCTTAACGTACGTTTCCTTGATGGCTTCAGCAGTCGAGCAACAATCTCCGCGGTTGGCTGATGTGGGAACTGCCCACATTCAAGCAAACGTTACAGTGACAACGCAAGTATCATTGCTTAGCAACGGCGAGCAAACAACCGTTGCTAGACAAAGGGAGGAAACAGCTATTGCTAGGCAAAGCCTACAACAATATGGGCAGTGACGTGTTTTATGTGAGTTCCGACGCAATGTTATAGAAGAGGAAGATATAGTGAGTGACTTTGCAAGCAGTAATATTGTTGGTACTATACTACTAGCCTTCAAGCTCGTCTGTGTATACTGTGCCACTATAATAAATACCGTATTTACGCATGTATAGACCGCGTGCGTGTATAGGCCGCAGCACAATTTTCAGACAGAAATTATAGAAGAATAATTTTCTTGGAATATTATTTTAGGAGTATTACACCATGTATTACTAATTATGAATATATATTTTTTTAAAAATGAAGTGTGATTTCGAATATTTCGAATATAAGCCGCACCCCAGTTTTCCTCTTGAATTTTTGGCAAAAAATGTGCGGCCTATACATGCGTAAATACGGTATTATGGAACAATTCAACAAGTGGTTGTCTCTTCATACAATGACATTTACACGCGTGTTTTCAACAGGCTGATCAATTTTCCTTTTTCATGTACGTTTCTTTTTTCAAACTTATTTTTTTAATTACCTTGAAATGTTCAAAGAACAGGTCCAATATAAATATATATATATATACTTGCGCTTTACACACGCAGATTTGCATTACATTAATTCCTAACTTAATTCGTAAACAACATCAATTATGGTTTGTCAAAACAGAATCAAATTAAATTATGTTTCTATTAAAATTTTAGTCAATTTAAATACTCGTACATCTGGTTTACTATTAAGGGCATAAATAATATATTAAGCGTAGTTATTTTTCATTGTAGTTTAACTGCAGTCGTTAAATGTTTATATGCTGGTGATTTTGGTGTAATTTCGTGAAATTCGTATAACAATCATGATATTCATTTTTGAAAATTCCCACTCCTGAGTCCAAAACATTCCCATCATGCCCTACGAAAGTAATATGTCGCATGTTCAAGCTTGAATAAAAGGAAGTTGTTATCGAAGTCATCGTATGGTTGCTGTTGGAGTGTGTCATGATATCGGTATATTATTACGTTTGTGAAGCGTACTTGTGCGGCAATAGAGACATCGTTGTGTTATCGGCCTCATAGTATACAGGAAAAGAAATTACGGCGAGTGATTTGTAATTTCTTGTTTCTTTGAAGCGTAGGGCCGTTGATATTTCACATTAAAGGAATAGTGATTAATGATATTTGGATCCGAAAAGCAAGATAAGGTACATATATTTATACACTGTTACTGGTATACCATTAAAGTGGTGTGAAATTGGAATTATTATTTTGAATGTGTCTGACGAGCGTGGTGCCGTTCTTCCCATTGTGTTTATATGATCTGTCATATAGGTATTTTGTGTATAATAATTCATTGGGCTGATAATGCGGAAGTCATGTTGATTTACAGAATATTAGGCTAAGACGATTACTTCTTTCAGAGCGAAAATAAATGAAGTGGCCAGGAGGTGAGGCGGACGGAATGTTAAGCCACACAAATGGGCATGTGTCATCTCCGCAGATTATAAGACAGCAGGTTAGTGTTGTTTCACACAGCAACTGTATATTTAGCATTCATGGAACCATTGAAATTAAGTTTGACAGACGTACTATTACGATAATTTTGTAATTCACGTAAGTTGTAGCGAAATTTTGCCGTTAATATGTGGCAGTTTGATCATAACCTCACATCTACTTATGGTTATTACTGCTTCTTTGTTTTGTACATTGGCAATAGAAATAAAAACTGTACTGTCTCTAGTGAAGTACAGTGTTCGTTTTGATCGTTTTTGTAGGTTTAATTATGTCCCATAGAATAGTAATGTGGAAGTGATGTAAGGTAGGTGAAATGCTGTTTTAGAATAGTGATGTTGCATTACAGTTTATTATTCATACCTCAGCAACAAGGTAAAGCAGGTGCATGAGTGGAATGCAGTCAAATTAAAAACTTTTCCATTCAGATAACTGGAGTATTGTGGCAAACAATGTTTGTGATATCATATGGGTTTGTTATAATGGACACTTAGAACAGCCCCAAATGGAGTGGTGAGTGTATTTTTAATAATGGTTAATTTTGGTAATACAGAATCTTTCTAAACATAGAAAGGCTGGAATTTGTTGCAGTATAACAAACATTCACTCCCACATATATCATCATGGCATAGAGCTTAACTAATTAACCATGAGGACAACTTTAACTTTATTAAAGCTTAATTAAGGTCATGTTAGTTTATGTTAAGTAATGTAATACATTGTTGGATTTTAGGTTATCACAACAGTGACCAGGAAAAATACACCATTTTCCAGGCTGTAGTGCTATGTAGCTTAGTTTCAGAGCAAGTGGCATGCTTTACGCATACTTGTTGCTGGTTTCTTGCTTGCCTTGCTCCTAGCCCTGAATATGGAGGTGATATATTCTTCCAGAACCATTATTAAACAGGAGGCAAGTTCACCTCTTGCTTCAAAATGTCTGTGAGCTTCTGTTGAGCTAGAGGGCCCCAGAAATAGGTACTCTTCATAGTCTTTGCTGTTACTTACTTACTTACTCACTTACACATGGAGCTGAGCCATTCTTGAGGAGAAGCCAAATCTGCAGCTACTCAAGAATTTCCCAGCATTTTATGGAATAAGCCACTGTAGTTTCACCCATCCTTTTTTCACCTTCATGATTCATTAGTGATGCATCCTGCTTTAGTTACTCTGTTAGACTGTCCTTAGTATTCAGTTCTCCCCACAAATATTAAGTAATTTATTGCAACAAGTATGTGAAATGGAACAAAACCAACCAACAGTGGTTGGTTTTGTCAGTGCTGCAATTTCAGACCTCCTAATGTGATTTTATTGCATGTCGGCTTCCCTTTCGTATGTCTTTGTAATCTTATCACTTTCATGTGAATTTTTAAGTTCAATTTTTATAGTGAAAACTGCAGAATGATGCAATTATGTGTGTAAAACAAGAACATTACAGTTTACAAACTGTTGAATGAATGGAATTGAAATTAATTCAGTTATGTTTATTTCAGTAAAAGTGAAGTATTGATAAAAATGAGCATAAATTTTAGATTCTACCAGTAATCCTAATGATAGCTTGAAGCTCGTTACCATATTCTATCAAATGTTGGTCATCAATACCTAATGATTTGCTTATCTTCAACTTCCCAAATTACAGTGTTGAAAGAACTAGGTTTAGGTACTGGTTGGTCAGGTGTATGTGTATATCCCTGTCACAGTGGGTTGAGGTTTCTTGTTCCCCATTATGATCAAAATTTTTCTCTTAGTTTTGTATGGTGTATTGCCTGTCCATAATTTTGACCACAGCCTGAAGCTGGGTTCCAGATTCCTCAGGTGCTGAAGTCTCAGAATGAATGCATGGAGTCTTACTCTTATACTTCCAGTTTTGCTACATATTTTATTACATTATTTGGTAAGGTATAAAGGTTCTGTAACATATACCAAAATAAAATTTAATCTACAGTAAGCTGAAGCAGAATTATTATTTTAGGTATAGTGTTGGTTCTTTAGAGCTTATGCACAGATACCTGATGTGAGGGTTCTAAAATTTGTCCAGCCACGGTTACCATATGTCGTCAAAGATTCTATTTAATGTGTATCTTTTTGTTAGATACCGGATCCAAATCGACCGCAGCTGGCTCGTTCACAAGATGACGCTATGGTGGGTTATGTTTTTCAGCGCCCTCAGTCTGATCCAGACTTCCCAATTCTACCACCATTTAACAAACAACAGCAGCGATGGGCATTGGGTGATGAAAGTATCATTGATGTAAGTTGATTATCTGTTGATGTTTAACAGAATATTCCGATGTGTAGAGAGGTGCATGATTTAAAGATTCCTTAATGTGGCATCTTGTGTGGATTGTTTAGAAGTTTCTGGACATTCTGTTAGAGATACTGCCATAGTTAGTACAGAGTTTGGGCCACGCCATAGCTCAAGTGGTTGGTTGCTGGCTTCCCACCGCGGTGGTCTGGGTTTGATCCTGGGTCTGGTCAAGTGGGATTTGTGGTGGACAAAGTGGCGCTGGGTCAGGTTTTCTCTGAGTATTTTGGTTTCCCCTGCCAATCTTCATTCCACCGATTGCTCCACGATCACCCTCACCTATCGTCTGGGGCTGGTACAATAGGCCAGAAGTTGCCGCAGTACAAGGGACTTAGTCGCACCCCACTAGCAATAAAAAAAAAGTACAGAGTTTCTGTGATAGTTGATGTAGAATAGAATTTATTTAATCATTTGTGATTAGTTTCAAAGCCATAGAAATGTCATTTGGAAATGATGCATCATGAATTAATATTGTAAGTAGTGCTATCTGATTTTTGTTTTCATCAAAGAATGATGGCCATAAAGAAAGTCATGCACATATGGTTCTGTATGACGGTAGACATAAATGGTGTGGATACCTACAAAATTTTAAAACTTTGTTTTCGAGAGGAAACAAGAAGTTGAATATAAAAAAGGTAAAAAGGTGAAGCTATTCCTATAATAGGCAGTGAAGGTCCGTAAGGTTGTGAGATGTCGAGGTTCCCACATTTTCTGTAGACAGACAGCACGCAAATATTGGTAAGGTTTTCAGACTTACGTGCCAACCACTCTTTACCCTATAGGAAGATTCCTGGTACTCATTTCTGTTAGAGGCTGAGTCGACCCCAGGGCTATAGTCTGGCTGGAAGGATTGGGTAAATTGAAAGAAAGTCCACCTCATTTGGACTCAAACTTGCTACATTAAGGTTTGTAGCATAGTGCCTCACTGAACTATGCTATTGCAGGCCCCCCTGAAGTTGAACATACAGCTGATTTTCAAAGTTCAGCTGTGGCATGACTTCTGTTGAATGTGATGGAAGTTTGGGGCATACTTTTTTATGTTGCAATATGCATCAGGAGGTNTATATATATATATATATATATATATATATATATTGTGACATGTTGCGCTATGAAGGATGCCCCTCCCTCCCCGCCAGCTGTGATGTGCCGAGCGGAGCTGAAGTGAGCCGAGTCCAACACGCGGTTGCTAAGCAAAGCGAGTAAACAGTGGTTGCCAGAGTCGACGGTAATAAGCCAATCAACAGCCTGTCTCGCCCTGTGGTGACGTAACATGCGACGTCGAGTTGCTACGTAGCCGTAAACAACTCCCGACAGCGTTGCCTGTAACACCTGTAAACACAGCGACTAGTCAACAAGGAAGCAAGGCGTTTTCCTGTTGTCCGGCTGAGGGTTTATAAGGGAACTACACAAGTGCCGAAGACAGTTCTCAAGGCAGCAGCCTATGAGTTGAGTTAGTTATGAGTTACGAGTTAGACAGCAGGGAGTCAGTCAGTTGTAGTCTAGCATTTGCAGTCTAGTATTTGTGATACTGCCGATGGCATTAATGTTGAGATTGTAAACTGTGTGATTGTAAGAGGGAATGTGCAATAAAATTCGCTATATCCAATAAGGCGTGAAGTTATTTGTCGTGTTACATACCCAACACGTGACAATATATATATTGTGATATGTTGCGCAACGGAGAACCCCTACTACCCAGCAGCAACGTGGCAACTCAGGCCACAGTGACGTGGTGGATGAGTCAGCGCTCCCCTCCCCCTTCCGCACGGTAATGTAACGCGCAACGCGTGGCGACGTAAGACGGCGCGAGGTAACAGCGTTGCTAGGCTATACGCAAACACGGTGACGCGGCACCGCTTCCTACTGTGACGTGGCACGCAACAGGCAACACTGCGGCTATATAAGGGAACTGCACAGCAGCTACGAGTCAGTTATAATGAGGCCATTGCCAAAGACAGTTCCGAGCAAGCCTACGAGCTAGTGTGTTATCAACAGTTCTCCAGTCAGACGACTACAGTTGGAGTATAGCAGCCGTCGCGGAAAGAAGAACCGGACGTGTGTGCGATTGTGTAATTGGGAGTGTGTGATGCAGCGATACATAGCTCCCCTACTGTAAACGTGTAGACTACTGAAGACAGAGTGAACTGATTTGTGCATAGGGTTATAAAGTGTGAAACCCCGCAACAGTGGTAACAGATTATTGCGATTAGGGTTATAAAGTGTGAAACCCCGCAACTGTGTGATAATTAATTGTAGCCGATATTTGTAGATTGTTCAATAAACCAATTAATGATCTCTACGGCGTCTTCAGTAACCCAACACGTTACAATATATATATATTTTGTGGCATCTATTTGGAAGGTAGTTGGTGAAAAAGTCGTGAGGAATGGCATGCTGGCTGGCTGGTGATTCCTGGCCATTCCTCGCACCATGACAGTACTCCTGGTCACTGTTACATGTGAAGGGGTTTCTGGTCTGAAACTAGATTGCTGTTATTCCAGCCATACTGCACTTTCCTTATCTAGACATGTGAAGATAAAATATATTTACATCCCTTCCGGGGGCTGCACCATAGCTCAAGCGGTTAGTTGCTGGCTTCCCACTGTGGCAGCCTGGGTTCGATCCCGTGGTCTTGTCAAGTGGGATTTGTGGTGGACAAAGTGGCGCTGGGACAGGTTTTCTCAAAGTATTTTGGTTTCCCCTGCCAATATTCATTCCACCATTGCTCCACAATCACCCTCACCTATCATCTGAGGCTGGTACAATAGGCCAGAAGTGGCCGCAGTACAAGGGACTTAGCCCTACCCCGCTAGCAATAAAAAAAATACATCCCTTCCAGAGAAGTGCCGTATAATTGTTGTTATTTTGTTGTATTTGTGTAATCTTTTATGCTTATTGTTATAAGTTGTATTGATTGCCTCAGAATGGAGAGGTACTTGGCAAGGAAAGGGAAAAAGTTTAATTACATCTTCATTTCATTTTATTCATAATTGCTATAACAGTAACACTTGATCACGTAACATCATTAAATACATCATTCTTGAAATTCTTTTGCCCAAATGCCTAAAGGATTAGAATTTGTCAACAATAAATAATTACTCTTGACATGGTTAAACCTACAATTAAAATATAACACACTATGAAAACCAGATAAATAATCAAATTAGATACAAAATATAAATAAAAAATGCAAGTTGATCAAAAAAATACATATCATGTTAGTTTTGTTAACCTTATGAGTTTATCGAGAGAATTTTAAGAATATTACAGCAAATCAAAAGTCCTACATATGACCATGTTAATCACCAATCACATTAAGATACTACAAGCAAATTCCAAAAAGTAGGTCTCTGTGCTATATCAGTGATTGTTCTGAAGAAATCATAGTGTGAAGTAATTTCTTATTATCATGTATTCATGAAGAGTAAGTTTTAGGATGTATTGGACTATGCATGTTTGATGCTAGATGCCAGATGTTATATAAAGGTTTCAGTAGTTGACATACTGTGTATGTTATCAGTGTGATGAATTCTTGTGTTCTTTATTTCTTTTAGAGCCATGAGAAATGGAAGTTTCCTATTATGACCAAATTAACGCATCCTGTTCACAATATGGTTCCATATGAAATGCACCCAGTTGCAATTAAGGTAAGTTTATAAGTACTTAATATATGTTATATTCTATACCAAACATATCCCAGAATATATGAGTCTTTAAGTATGATTCCTGTATTAATATTTGAAATTGCCTACTGACATCATTGTGTCATTCGCTAGTGGATATATTTTACTCTTTCTTTTGACACTTCTGAAATCATCATCATCATCATCATCAGTAATCTGTCAGACGACAGGTCCACAGTCTCTTCCAAAACAGTTCCTCCACTTAATGCGATCTAGAGCTTTCTCCTTCAAATGACAGTATCCTCTTCTGTCCCCAATGTCATCCAGCATCTTCTTATGTCTTCTTCCTCGTCTTCTTGTCACTTCTATCTGCCCCTCTATCTTTCCTTCGATAACTTCTTTTAGAAGGCAGTGTCTGCGTAAAACATGACCAATCCAATTAGCCTTCCGTTTTCTTATTTCGTGTAGGATATTCCTCTGCTCACTGACTCTAATTAACACTTCTTCATTTCTCACATAATTGGTCCAACTGATCTTTTCCATCCTTCTCCAACACCACATTTCGAAAACTTCTGAAATATGAATGACAATTTTAATTCTTGAGTGGGAGTGGGAGGCTTGTAAAATGTTGTATTGAGAACTGGTCTAGAAAACCGAGAATAATGGCTGTGGGAATTTGTTGCACCGGCCATGCGACACCCTCTATCTGCAAAAGTTGGCAGTAACTTCGCTAACAAGTGGCGGTTGCTCTGTAGGTATAGTTTGCTTGTGGGCTAAAGGCCACTGAGGATATGTATGAGGAATATGAGGTATTCTGAAGATAGTTTTAGTTCATAAGGTTTTGACACTATGGTTATTCTTCCTAGAGATCTATACAGAGGTGTAAATATAAGACTTAATTCCAGTGTGAGAGTCATTTCATAAAATATGAGATGCTGATCTGAGATGAGATTCCCATAATAAAGGTGTGTGTTTGTGTGTGTGTGCATTGTGTGGCTTGATGTAACTTTCTGATTAATTTCCATTGCTGTTTTTATTAAACTGCTCTTCTTTTACAAATAAAATAAACTGTAAGCGTGAAGTCTGTCATAAAAGACCAAGGTTAATGTTTTGCGGTTGACATAATTTTAGAGTAAAGATAGGAGTGAACTGAATCAATACACCAGGAGTTTACATTTTTAAAAATCTGTAATTCAATTATGAGAAAACTGTAACATTTTAATGAAATTTAGAATGCTGAAGTAATGCGTTGGTTCATTTTAAATAAGTGTGCATTCAGTGCCTGGTGGACTTTGTACATGTGAATTTTTGTCTCATCTTTTTTCCACTTCCCATTGGGCTGAAATATGGGGGATCCTTCATTCCCAGGTCCTTTTACTTGTGCTCTAGACTGTCCAATGGGTATGTTCAGAATGCTCAACAAGGGGTAGAATTTAATGGTCTAAATCAGGTGCATATACTGTGCTGATGATAATTTGTTGCATAAGAGTAAAGTTGTCCTTGTGCTTAACTAATTAAGCACTACACCATGAAGAGGTGTGGGGGAGTGGATATATAGATCCACGTTTTCTTGACCCTGACACTAATTGGAGGTGAATGTTACATAAGAGTATTAATACAAAATTCAGAGATTCTTTCAGAGGCTAGGGAATATATGTATGAGGGGTAGGCCTCCTCGGCCCTTGCACCGCGACCTACCGTGGTCTATTGTTCTTCAGAGGCTAGGGAAGAAACTGGCCTAAAAGTAAATACAGTTAAAACTAAATATAGGAGCAAGTGACAAATACAGAATCAGTAACAAAGGCATAATCAGGGCCTGGATTTTGATGACCTGAAAATATTTAAAAATGACCGAAAAAATCCAGAAAAATTACCTAAAATATGACCGAAAAATGTAATATGCAGGGCCCAGATTTTGATCTGAAAATATTCAAAAAATGACCTATAAATTGACCAAAAAAATCCAGAAAAATTACCTAAAGGAGAAAAGAAAGAACACTTCTCTTCCATGTTATTCACATTTCAGAAAACATGAAGAAAAATTCCCTAAAATGGCAAAAAATGACAAGAGATACCCTTAAAAGTCCAAAAATTTACCAAAAATTACCCCCAAAATGAAAAAAATGTCAAAAAATTACCTATAAAATTTACATTTCTGTAACCAGCAGCTCATATCAGAGATTTATATATTTAAGAGCATCGCATAGGATACAAGGAAAAAAAGATGACATGTCATCAAACTCTGGGCCCTTGTCATAATGTAAGTTAGAAGTGTCTGGAAATGATGTGCTTAGGAAAATATCTGAGCCTTCCTTGAAGTTTTTCCGCTAGAAAGTTTTAGTAGTTGCTACTTTTAAGTTGTCTACCATCTTTTTTTTTTTTTACTGCATGCAGTCAAAGAGTCAGTTAATTTGCTTTGGTCTTTGCTTATTTCAGCACCTCTGTGCTCTCCTCACATTAAACTTTTTGTTTGAAGTCATAAACGTTTTTTTACGAATTTTCAGTTTTTCTGTTTTTAATTTTTAATGAGCCGTGTAAAAGGATTTTGAGGCAGACAGTCATGGTTTATGCGAAGGTTCAGTTCTAGGGCATTTGCTCACCAAGACAGGAGCACCACGAAGAAACTGAGTCAGGATTACTGATAGTCTGGCTGAGATTTGTTTGGTTACTTTCTGAATATGTTTTAAGTGTAAATGGTCTGCAGATCTGCTTTGTTCTTACACAGCAAGGTGCTACCGTGCTGTTTGGTTGGACCTTTGGTTTTGTTTTGGTATACAGGTCTCATGTTGAACTTGCCCATTTGGTGATTCCAGGCATAATGACCAAAAGAACTACCTCCGGCTTGGTGAAGTTATCCTTTGTGATAGTGGTACAGGAATGAATATGATGTAGCAGTAAGTGGGATGTATGTAGCGAATAATATTGTAATTTGTGTGCTGATGTGCAGTAAGGAAATGGATCCTGGAAACTGTGTTTCTGCAATTTATTTTGTGTGAGGGACAAAGAATGGCGGTTAAAATTTTACATTTGAGAAACAGCCTGTTAAGGAATATACTTGAAGCAGCCAGCAGTGGTTTGGAAAATATGGATATCAGAGCTTACTTGAAAATACTGTAGTGTAGTTGGTTGAGGCACTATGCCACAAGCTGGAAGGTCGCGTGTTCAGGTCCCGATGAGGTCATTGGATTTTTTTCAATTGAGCTAATGCTTCCAGCCGCATTATGGCCCCGGGGTCGACTCAGCCTCTAACAGAAATGAGTACCAGGAATTAATTAAATAATTTTCCTGGGGAGTAGAGCACGGCCGGCACTAAAGGCTCACAACCGTACCGCCATCTTTGAGCCGATTGTCTAGATAATGTGGGACCCTCAATATCTCACAACCCTGTGGGCCTTCACGGCCTGTTACAGGGATAGCTTTACTTTTTTTACTTGATATCATACTCAATGTGTATTGAATGTGCAGTGATGCAGTTTTCTGTGTATGTAATATATAGCATAATTCTTAATTTTTACATGTGTTGCATGTTAAAAGGTTTTCAAAACCAGCAGTTTAACAATCCTAACAGCATCCATTGTATGTTGTTCTCAGATGGAAAGCTTAATGTCCCTGTTGTCAAGCTTAAAAGCGGCCTCTTGTCAAGAAATGTTAGCTGTAATGCTTCAGCTTGTATTCAGGAGATGCTTGGTTCAAATCCCACCTGGACACTTGACAATCCTGACTTTAGATTTTTTGATGGTTTTTCTCAGTTCCTCCAAGCAAATACCAGGATAGTACATTGAAACAGACCAAAGCCACTTTTATCCACATCATTTCCAATTTATCACTCATTAATAATCATAGCATTTGACACTATGTAATCTGAGCTACTGACAGTATTACTAAATAGACAATGGAAAGAAGCCTATGTTATAACCCAAGCTAAAGCCAAAGGAAGCTGTGCAGAAAAAGTAATGAAGCCTCCGTCTGTACTGAATGCAAGGTGGCCAGTTCCATTGTTTTGTTCTGTGTTGCTATTGCTGTTCTCAGTAAAAGGTCCGGAGTTTGTGTCTTGCTGAAGGTCACCTTGGAGTATCTTGGATCAATGAACTGGATAAACCAGTAAAGCATCTTGCAGTCTGCTGTGCTCTTCTAGTCCGGCTGAGGCACAAGCTTTAAGACCTTGGAACTCCACAACATGATGCCAATACTTACACAGTTTGTTAAGACTCCCTCCTCCTCGTCTTCCTAGTTGTTTCTCATATTCTTTTTCTAAATTGCCTTGTACAGTTCAGAAAGACGTTGGATAACTAATTCCAATTTCGTTTCCACTCCGCAAGTTAAGAACATTGTGTAAGCATTCACATGTTAAAGTGTTCTTGAACTTGCAGCTGTAGCAATAGGTCATTCCCTTTGTTATCTGAAAAGAAATATTGAGTATAGTGATTAGTACTCTTCTGCCATTCTCAGGATATCCCATGTTAGGAACTCAGCTGGATATCATTTCTTCGGCTCCCTCCAGACTAATGTTGGGATAGACTGCAGTTGTTTCCTTCACATTCATCTGATTCATAATTTGTAATCCTGCAGTTTGACCTTTGTGTTGAGAATGTGTTATTAAGTAAATGGAGAAACAAATCAGCTTATAGATACTAAGAAAGGCAAGGTATGGAGAGACTAGGGGGCGCCCAGTAGCATAGTTGATTGAGGCACTATGCTACATGCCGGAAGGTTGCGGGTTTGATTCCTGATGAGGTCATTGCTTTTTCCAATTGACATAATCCTTCAAGCCGCACTATGCTCCTGGGGTTGACTCAGCCTCTAACAGAAATAAGTAACAGGAATCTTCCTGGGGGGAAAGGGCGGCCGGCGTGTAAGGCTGACACCTCATTACCGTCTGTGAGTTGATTGTCTGGAAAATGTGGGAGACTCGATGTCTCGTAGCCCTATGGGCCTCCGTGGCATGTTACAGGGATAGCTGTACTTCTTTACCTTTTTGGAGAGGCAAGTGAAAGGCAGCCGGTAATGGTTAATGTCATAAAGAA